ATCGAAATATTGCCGCTTTTACCTCTGTATGGAATAAAGTTCCACAACCATACTTTGCGTAAGCCATAATATCTTGCATTTGCTGAACTCCACAACAAACACAACAAGCAGATGTTGAATGACCACAACGGTGGAGGTGTGGCTCTACAGCATGGGGTGGGAGTGTAAGGCATGGTTGGTCTATCGCGGTATCCTTCAAATCGGAAGGATAAACATGTTCATCAACATGTGGAAGATCGGACGATAATTTTTTTCCGCGTGAGTGCGGTTCAGTTCCTATAGACGGGTACCGAAGAAGAGAGCTGTTGGCAAATTGACCTAATGAGGTTCGTGACGCGGATTGCCGTCTTAATGAGATTCGCCATTCTAGAGACGTTGATGATTTGAAGAAGGACACCGATAGAAGCCTAGAGAGGTAGTAGATTAAATGTTTGGCCCGTGTGTGCAAGAATGCGGTGGTTCCACTTCCGAGTTCGTCGTCCTCCAACGCGAGCAAAACGTGCTCGGGAAACCGCAATCCTGTTGAGCGATCGCCATTCAATCCATAATCAACTTCTTCTGCACCAGATCGAGGGAGAAAAGGGCGGGAACAATTCCATTGCCGCCGCAAGCTCGATGGAGACTTGATAGGCGAGTTTGTCATGGAGGCTGAGCCTGGAGTTTGGGACATGGAAACGATCGGGCTAGGAGTCTCTTGGGACAGTCCCACCGGGCGCACATTGTGGTCAGGATCGGCAGCACAATGGGGTGTGGGGTGGACCGTGTTCTGGGACAGTGCATTAATCGACATGCGTCTCAATAAATGTTGCAAGGAGCGGATTGCCGGATCATCAACCGGGCAAACGGTAGCACATCCCTCCACTTCTGTTGCTGTCGAAAGAGTCCGGGATATACGGTTTCTTCTCTCTTGGCTTTCGGGAGTGCTTTCAATGCTCGTTCTTGGAGAAGCGTCGTGAGTGACAGGGGACAATTCACCACCACCTTGCTCTTCGAAGTTATGAAGTGAACTAGTTTCGATAGTTGTTAGAATGCCGTCTGCTTGTTGAGGTGGTAATAGAAAAGATGCTGCACAAACAATGAGCGCCAGAAGATTTTGAGTGGAATGAATCAATTCTTGATCCATTTGGCATCGCGATGGGATGCCCTTGCGCTGTTCTTCTACTCTAGTCACACATTTGGAATTGACAAGGATGGACGCCAAAGCGATATGCAGCCCGGAGTGGATGAGGAGTCTCAAGAGTGTCATGCCGTAAATGTCCCTCAAATCGCAGGAGCTATATGCCAAACCGGATGCGATTTCAAGTTCTGAGGGAATGTGGCCTAAATATTGGGAGCACGACAACGACCACAGGGACGAGACGACGGGTGCAGCGACAAGAGCGCTTCTTCGACCTGAACGGGTCGAACGATGATGGGCGCGATGTTGATTGTCGTAGTGGATATCCGGAGGAAGTCGGAGAGGAAAGGCGGCTGAGGCATTAGAGTGCCGCTGATGGAATGGTAACGATCCCGACGGATCAAATGTAGAACGTAGAGCGACGGGTGTAGTGGAATCATCTGTTGATCCTGCTAGGGAGTGATGATCGACAGATCTTGAAAAAAAATGAGAATTGAGGAAGGAATGCGACGGAGACGTGCGATACAGCGGATCGGAAAGAAACGAAGGATCTTCGGTACATTGAAAGGCTGAATTATGCACAAGTCCAGTGCGAAGTAGAAAAGTGCTGTCGATAGGACGAGGCTCGAAGAACGGAGGAGGTACGCGCATCGACACCGCACCAAGCTGCTGAACAAGAAAGTTACCCCTGAGGGTTGCAGCATCGACTGCTTTGTCTGGAGCTGAACGCCCAGATGACCATCGCCCTAGAAATGACTGGCAGTCTGTAGTGATGGGCTCGGCTGGAATAAATGGTTGGGAAAACGGATGGTTGAAACAATTTGCCTCGCATGGACACTCCGAGTCTTGAGGATTTACTCCACCACCTTCACTCGAGTTGGAAAACATCCAAATCGACATGTCAGACTGCTTGTGGGGTGTATGGGATTGGGACATCGGTGCAACATTTCGGAAAGCCCCACCATGTGCCCGTGTCCTAGAGCCTTCGTCTATGCTGGATGACGGAGGGGTAGGATTAGGCAACCGGCGGTGAACGGCATGCGGAGCAAGAGATTGATCGGCGAAAGAGTATTTGCACGACGCGGAAGAAACATCCAAAGCACCTGACGAATGCATTGAGAACTGGCGATGCGGCTGATAATTGTTACCAGAATTAACCCGATGAAAATGATGATGATGGCGGCGAGACCCTGAAAATTCAAATTCTTCATCTTCAGTGACTAATTGTGATGTATCATATCCATTGAGCCAATAGCTTCTAAGAAAACGACATGCAATTAACGCTAGCATGTCCTGACGATTTTGAATGGGAATTCCTGAAGATGTCACACCCATGCTCATCAACTGAGTGAAGAATTCGACAAGACGCAGCCGTGACAAAGTATCAATTGGCTGTCTTAAGAGTTCAACCAACGCCGTAAGCCCTGAATTTCGATAAACAAAGATCATCTAAAAACTGTCTAAAGATCATCCAAACTTACCGCTCGGATGACATGCAATACCAATCAATCCTGAAAACGTCCTACAAAGGGTTAGAATGGCAGCACTGGATGCCCTCCACTTCTTCCATCTCAAAGATTCCTACAAGAAAATCTCAATTCATCACCGCCGAGTCCCAACTGTCTGTCCCACCTGTTCCCGTTCTTGCTGTTGGGCTATTTTTCGTGAAGCTGAATTGACAATTTTTTGATGGAAAATATTCTTGACACCACTGTCAGCAACACCCATCTCTGGTGACGCCACCAGGGTTTGAATCATTTTTGAACACAAATAAGAGAGTTGAACGAAAGATTTCGAAGCCGCAGGCCTCCAAGGGAATGCGGGCTCCCCTTCAGGATTGAAAATACAAAGTGGCAGAAGCTTATTAGCAGCTTTTTTTAGCGAAATAATCTCTGAATCTCCTAAAAATCGAAAATTCGTCAAAAAGGGCGAGCACGACAGGAACACACCACGGGCACCGCTTACCTAATGGAAGTCGACGTGCATCGTCCCCGAAGACGGAACTTAAGGCAACGACAAGACTTCTGCAGAACCCTGGCTCTGTTTCGAATATTTCAACATTCGTCGCAACATCCACCAAGCACGATACCGCTCCAACATTCGACAGTCGCCTGTAGGTAGCTGCATCGCTTCCGACAATAAGATCCCGCAATGTTCCAGTGCAAAAGAACTGCAGCGGATCAAGAGAGGTTGCTGTGGGGGGAGTTGGTTTGGGGCGTCCCACTGATACAAGAGCTCGAAGGAAACAGACTGGGATTGCGACGAGCGTCTCCCTCCCGACGGAACTTTGGCACCATCTCCTTATGAGCTTCAGTGCATGAACCCTTTCCTCAAGGTTCCACTGAGATGGATACTGTTGAAACTGATCTTGTTCTGAAAGTGAATATCGCTCAAGACATGGAGCAACCAAATCAGGTATACAGAGATCACTACAAAGCTGGAAGATGCGATCTGAGATCAGGACATGACGAAGAAGTCGCAAAATAGCGCTTCGAAAGTCTGAATCTTGATCTGATAAATAAAGACGGAGCACGAACAGAAAATGATAGGAGACGAGCGGCTCTAAATTGATATCTTGCCATACAGATGTCTAAAAAGAAGATGACAATAAATAGAACGACGCAAGACAGAGAAAAAAACTAATGTGGGACTACGACGACGAACCTCAAAAATTGATGTTAATTTTCCAATAAGATCAAGTTTCATTTGTCTTTCAGTCATCACAATCCTCCCTCTTCTATAACCACCACGCAGCCCAACATCACGAAAGGGGATTGCTGCCTTGTGGTAAAGGCAATCCACAATTACTCCGACACCAGCCATCTCAGTCGACAAAGCAGAAAAGAAGTCAGAGGAAAGATGGAACCATCAATTGCATTGAAGCACGGGCACCACAAAGCGACCCATAAACTACTGGAAGGGGAGAATTATGATTTCCAAAAGTCTCAGTAATTCAGATGCTGTAGGGAGCGCCATCTCCTGAATGGATTCCATTAAACTCCTCTTAGAATAGTTTTTTGAAAGTAAAGTCTTAATAGTCAGGTTTTTCGGATGGATCCAACCCCTAGATGGGTGGCCTGGTGAGACCACACTGTGCTACAGTCCGGGAACTTCTCCGTAAATGAATTGAAGAACGCTAATTTCGACAATCAAAAAGAACGTGTAAAATATCAACTATGCGAATTATTTATTGGAATCATCCTTTAATGGCAACACAAGTGGACGGAGGGACATTAGAGAGTCTTCTTCGAAATCTTGCAGACCATGCTTTCGAGAAGAAACTGCCTCAAGTTCAGGAAACGTGATGACTGGCGTCACATCAGTCTCTGCTGCTTGAGGGATTGTTGAGGGAACAGGCGTCTCTTCAACTTGATGCAGATTTTTATGGGATTCCCATTTAGCAAGTCGTTTCTTATCGTCATAGCGTGGCGCCCTGAGTGGAGTGAATCGCAAAATGACGATTTGGGCGAATGTTTGGGACTTACCGTACACGTCTTCCAAAACGATCCGTAATATATGCTCTTCCTACGATGATTGTACAAATCACACGATCACAGAAATCCAGTGCATGACATACCATACATATCATGGAGTACAGGGGATGATTCCCTCCAAAGCTTTGAACTCGATCTAAAGAAGGATCAAACATCAATCGTGTCTGCAGGCGGGTATGTTTCTGACACAGCTATAGGATGTGGTTCAAAATGCTGCACATCAGCAGAAACAGATCAGCGTGGGAGCACCCGTAAGAATTTCTATCTGCATCCAAATCAATAAATAAATAACTCACTTGTATCGAGCGTAAACAATCAGCACGATCGAGGATGCCAGAATGTACGGAAGAGTTTTCCAAAATAGATTAACTCCAATTGTTTTCGCGTATTCAATAAACTCGACTTCTGGAAGATCTTGCTGAAATTTTTAAATCAAATATCATCCATGTTCGACTTCTCACCTCCATCTCCTTCCTTAGAGCTTCAGCCTGTTGATAGAATTCTTTTTCAAAATCAGCGCGTTCTTGTTCTGGATTGTAAACTTTTCCCTTAAATTTTGATTTTTTCTTCTTCTTCGTTGTTACTCCCTCAGGAGCTTCTGGCTCGGGGTGGCTGAAATTCCCTCTTTTTGCATCCTCGGTTAAAACCTGAGAAAAAAAACGAACTTGGATCTTCAGATCGGACAAGAGATCGAATACCTTGATGAATTTATATCTACATGTAAATAGAGACTATTTATATTTGTCACTTCGTTGGAATCACTTGGTAAGCTTCCTGTACAGCTTTAAAAAGCTTATCGGCTTGGGGCGATTGGTTGACATCTGGATGGTAACGTTTAGCCTTCTGAAGATATGCGGCACGAATTGCGGCTACCGACGCATTTCGAGGGACCCCTAATAATCAGGGAATGAGATGGAGAGAGTGTATTCGACTTACCGAGGATTTTATAATGCGACATTATTTCTGGGGGGTTTCATAGATTTGATCTCAAGAGAACAATGACCCAAAAAAATGATGGAGAAAATCCAGACCTTTTCTCTTCTGTCAAGTGGAACAAACGATTAGTCTCAATTTTGAAAATGTCAACATCATTCGTAACAAGAGTCTCCAAGATCTTCAAATGGAAACCAACAAATCTTCAACCTTCAGTCAAAAGTCAATTAGACGTTCCAAACAACATCAAGGAAACAAGAGAAAGCCCAAACGAGAAATCATGCATTTTCGAATTTCAAGAACGGAAACGAGCCACAATGCAGATTTTGAACGATTCCAAAAATATCGATCGATCAAAAAAAGGTTCTCCCGATGAACAAATTTTGCCTTTATTGAGCGACATTAACGCAAAGACAAATCTTTACACAACATCATCATGTGCAGGAAGGGTTCAAATACTCGGAATGGTGTCACTTGAAAGTCGACCCTTTTGGATTTACCAAAACCATTCAGGGATTGATGGATCATCATTGAAAGAGTTAAAGGATCGGTTTGAAACGTCGATAGAATTGGGACAAAGAAAAGAAGTTCCAGAACGGACAACGCTCGAACATCCAATAGTCGAAGGACAGTTACGAATGCCAACACATGAAACGAAATTCGTCGACATTCGATTGATATGTCAAGGGCCAATTCTCCATATTGCTGCACCTACAATTGAAGTTGGTAATGCTCTGATGCGACGCTTGCAAGGATCTGGAATTAAACAAACAATGATGCGAAGTGTTACACCGAAGAGAGTCATTCTCAGTTGTGCATCAACAACAAATATTAGTGCAATTTTATGGATGAAACAAATTGGATGGTTAACTGATCTATCGAACAAGGATCTCTGTGACGAACTAGCAACGCACATGACAGATACATTAACAACTTCACGAAGCATGTATTTTGAGAGCGTCAGAAACGCAATCAGTTCTGAATCATGAAGAGATACCGCTAAATGTTTCTAGGACGAATGAATTTTTTTCCAACAATTTTTCTGGCAAGTTAGGGTGCTGACAAGGAGCAAAAAATCCAAGAAGGGAACGAAACAAGCGATGATCAAATCACTTTTTTGCTTCGTAAAAAGTTGCGGAAGTATAAAATCTGCAGTAGTGTTGCAACAAACATGACGGCAACTCCCAAAAGACAGAAGAAAACAACTTGATTTGAAGTTGAATCATTAATTTTTCTCATTTTTAACTCCTTCGACCGCATATGCAAGAGATTCCGATGGTATTCACGAAGTTGATCCTCAACGCGGCGAAGGGAAACGATTAGAGGGTCAAGCTGTTCCTTCTTCGCAATTTGGCTGTAGTCCTTCGCTTCTGGTCCTTGATCAATTGCGATTGTAACAGTTGCACCAACAGCTCCGAAATTCATGACACAAATTTGATAGTCTCCCGAATGAGTGGAAGTGAAAGCCGTTTTCATGACGCGTCTATTTCTGTCTTGAAATATCGAAATTTCTCCATAATTGACAGTTAAATCGATTTGGTCATTGTCACCTTCAGATGATGAAGAAATGACCATCAAAGTATTTTGAAGGACATCCTGATAGTAACAACGACGCGCAAGACGAGGAAGCTGAATACGAAACTTCAACGCGTTGAGGGGAAGGACTAAGAGGAACAAGGCGATGAGAGCTCGTATCATGATGCTGGATGGAAAACTGTTCTTTCTAAAAGACCATACGGATTCATAAATAGAATTGCAAACAGAAAAGCACGGGAATACGGAGAATACTGCAAGCGAATACAAATTCACCGCCTTTTCTTGCACTTAGAGAAGGACAAGGAGCATCAGTCCCAAAGTCTTTCAGGCGAACCGGAAAACCCTTAAATGGATCCTCTTAATGTCGCATCATTCATGATGTTGGATGTTTTGCGGAAGTCAGTCTGGCGTCTCAACGCCGGAAACGTTTCAATACCTTCACTATCGGGCGTAGAAGGAGCACTTTTCAGGAGATTCAGAGGAACCGTGCCTGGAAGACTATCACAGAGTGTTTTGCAAGTATCACAGCCAGGAAGGCTACCGCAGAGTGTTGTGCCACAGACGTGTTGCCGAGCGTCAGTTTCATCACTCTCTTCCAGTCAATTTCGGTCATCACGGTCATCCTATTCTTCGGTCCAACATTTTCAGCGGTTTCCTTATTCGTTTCCCAATCCAAATTCTTCTCTCTCTTCGTTTGATAGTCAACGGAGATTCAATTCTAGTTTCATTCGCCATGTACTGGATCAAGTCAAAAAAGAAATGGAAACAAATGAAAAGCTCCGACAGTCAGTAAAGGAGTTCAAAGAAACTGGAACATCTGAATCTGAATTAAAAGAAAAATTGAGTCAAACAACAGAGAAGGTAAAAGAGGCATCGAAAAAGATCAAGGAGGGGGCTGAAGGTGTTTTCAGCACAACGTCACAATTTCTATCTCGCGCTAAATCCAAAACTAGAGAAGGTCTCGAAGCTTATGATAAATTTAAGGAAAGTAGTCCTTTGTTGAAGACTGTGTCTCATGGAGCGTCCACAGTAATCGATGTTACAAAAGCATCTGTTGGGAAAGTTGTCGATGGAACGACGAAAGTGTTTGAATTTTTCAAAGACGAAAAGGAGGAAGAAGCAAAAAAACGAGCTGAGAGATGGAGGGCTGACATGGAACGCAAACGAAAGGGAACTGAAGAAGCAACAGAAGGAACAAACGAAGCAGAGCCAACTGCGGAAGGGTAGGTGGTGGTTTTCGAATTTGCCTCATTGTGTAGCGTCAGAGTTGAAGCAGACGAAGAAACGTTTGCATTAATTGTAGCGCAAGATTCAGCGTGGGATCGCTTCGGGACTAAGTTACGCGATATGCCATTTCTGCATAATTTTTTTGGTAGGTGTCGAGATTGTGCATTTATAGATCCGAAACTCTTTGGCTAATTCTTCTGCAGAAAATCCAATGATAGGCAAACTGCTTGGTGAAAGTGCACAAGCAGCTGCGTTGCGAGAGATGAAAGCAATAGATCCTTCATTCCGATTGCCAGAACTCGTTGAATTGGCAGAGCACGTTATCGCGCCTCATTTGGTTCATTCGTTTTTGAATGGCGACAGAGAAGCGCTTAAGATTGTAAGTCAGACTTGATTTTCCTGATTCATTGCTTTATTTTTCAGCAATGTGGCGAAGCGGCATATGCTGCAGTTGATCACTCCATCAAGGAGAGGGACACGTTGAAGCTCTCGTTAGATCCAACTGTACTTTTGTTAAGAAACGTCGAATTTAAAGGTATGGGGTGCATAACGAATGTGCGAAAAGTCATTTTGGTTTCATAGGTGCATCAACTATGCCTGATAAGGCACCTTGGTTTATTTTTACGTTCACGGCTCAACAAATCAATTGTATGCGGGATAAGGACGACAGGGTGGTTGTCGGTGCAATTGATGACATTCGGGAGGTAGTCTATTCTGTCGCCTTGATGAAACACCCAGATCCTGAAATAGCAGGCTTGGAATATCCATGGCAGGTAGGGTTCTTGTTCTCCGTCCACATGTATTATATTCGTGAACAGGTGACTGAATTTGCCATCATTGGAAACACTCCATGTTGGTAGCCCCCATTTTTTCCCTCTTCTTTTTGTGTCCGAGAATTGTTTTCGTAAAAGTTCGAGTTAGAGGCTGCTAGACTTCAGGACCGTGACTGCTTCCACAGGATAAAAGGTCCACTGCCAACAATCAATGCTAAGAGATGAAGGTTGCTGTAATTGGCCGTTCTTAAGAAATTAC